AATAACTCACATCGAATAGACAAATTTCCAATTTGAATAGCCTGGCTTTGATACCATATAAATAACTTTTGAAAACTTTGATTGTCAATAGGCCTGATTTTACATATACAAGTATAAGAGAAAAGGAGAAAGAAGCACAGTTTCTGTTCAGTCTACATTACTCTCAGATTCTCTCTCTTTGTGACTCTTTATGAGGCTCTGTAGCATCTTGTGCACCTCTTTTCTCTCTCTTTTTCATCATGCCTTTTTCCATAACATAATGGTCATCTCTGTTACAAAACCATGCCCAACTACCTCTAATAGCAGGCTCAAGCTTTAATGCTTCTTGGGTTTTAAGCTATATATCCTCCATCAAGATCTAACCCACCTATTTGATTATCTAGCCAAAATATTTGAAGGGAGTAGATTGTACATGTGCTCCCTCGGTCCCATTTACTGTCGAACAGTAGACAAGTCCATCCATTCAAAAAACAGAACCGGGGCAGTTGGTTTCCCTTATTGAATTAAATTATAAATTTATAATAATAATGTGCAGGTGTCAGTCCGTACACCTGAAACCAGTCCCTTTTACTAAAAAGAAAGGTTATTAGCGGGTGCAAGAGCCCGTTGACTCACCATGGTCCATCTCTAAGATGGCCATTGTAAAAATGAATTTAGACAGTGTACAAATTTTCCTTAAAAAATCACATTTTAAATATTGAAAATTTTATTTTATTTTCCTATTCATGACCATCTTAACCTAGATTTGAATACCTAAAATTTCGAGTTAAAAATCCATTTTTAAGATTGACTTAAGTGGTGGCCCTTATATATACAATATGAGTCAACTGCCTCATAGAAACCCGATCCTTACTAAAATATTAAAGTGTCTAGATTGGGTTCATGCATCTTCATGAACAAGCTCCTAAATATTGTCTTCCAAATTCATGAATCCTAAAGACAGTAACATCTATTTACCACCGCCTTTCTTAAATCTAATGAGTTTTATTAATGAAATCTTTAACATAGATGCCACGAGCAAATGACAGTTAAAACACAAAGTCAGTTTTGGACGTTGGATTTGATAGCCAACAATTTGTAAATCTACTCCTTTGGTCACAACATTCATAAAGAGATGTGCAAAGTTGATTCTACTCATTGGTCCAAAGTATCTGTATCGATGTATCGATTTATAATAGCCCGTCAATATAGGTATTATCATTTTCATTAGCAGACAAAATAACAATAACAACAACAACAATCACGAGTCATTCGGAAAAATATCCATGGCTAATGAAGCAGAAGCCAAAGCACTCTTGTGAATCCTGCATATATGGTGGGTACCTTTAACCAATCTAACGAGTAGCAAAGGAGATCAAATTTATCCATAGCATCCCACGCCAATTTGTGATGAGATCAAGGACATCATGGCTCAATTGGACATTCAATTTGCTCACACCTATAGATTTAGGACATTTCTAGTAGAAAGGAGGTATCATTTCTGCATTCTTATAGGGTGGCAAAAAGAGGTCGATATGCTGGCTTTGAGTTTCAGTATTTTTTTTTATCCTTTTTTCTTATTTGTGCATTGGGAAAAGGTCCGATACCTATGGTAGAAATAAAATCCAAGATGACATGTTATATATATAGCATTCATTGCCTTAACCCCCTATGCCTTGAGCCCAATGCTGCATTGCAATTAGTTATTTTGCGATAGGGCTAAGAATGGGTCCGATCGAGTCTAGATCCACTGGGATCCAAATTCAGATCCGAAAAATATACATGGGATCTGGATATGGATTTGGACCTGATCGGGTCCAGAATATTTATATCTACTTTCGGATCCAAAAAGTATACATAATACATGGGATCTAGTTCAATTGAATAAAAAAAGTTATTTTATATCTATAATATAATATAAATAACATATAATAAAAATACTATATAACATATATGTATATACATAAAATGATATATAATATTTAAATAAATGGGTCGGATCTAGATCGGATCCACCTGTACCTAGATTAAATTTGAATTACTATTTAGATCCAAATTTTGGATCTGGATCCAACCCTCCAGATCTGGATAGGGTTCGAAATTTGGGTTTTTGATCCAAACCGTATAAATTCTCAGCCTTATTTTTTTACTATAATTAGTTGACGATCTAATGATAATAAGCACGCAAGTTATTTCAACAAAAAAAAAAAAAAAAACAAAGAGAGAAAAAAGAAAACTAGTAGTCTATAGGTTTTGATTGTGCATGTATAGCTAGTACTGGCATTTTTTGACAGCATCAAACATGTAAATCAATTTTTCAAGTTCACGTAAAGCATCACGCTGACACTTAAAAGAAAAAAATATTTCCTCAAAGAAAACTCTGGCAAAATTTGAATCGTTCCTCAGGTCAACGTCGTAGACATAATCTATTGGAAGCTATATTGCACTGCCATCTTCAATCAGTTTGAAATCACCTCCCAATCACCCGTGATGCGAATAATGGACGGTTGGGGTGTATCGTTCCTTGCCTTTATAGTCAATTGCGGTCTCCCTCATAAACTCATTATTTACATGGATTTTGGACCTAAATTTTACAAGTTTATAATCTGAACCACCCCAATCATGAATTTGAAAGAAAACGAAAAATGATTTTTGGACTTTAAATGTTGGTTATTTTAAATATTTTTGGGCCATTCTTCGTTGCTCATTTGATTCTTCGTATATCATCAAATTTGCACTATTTTTTGAGCTACAAAATTATGGATCTCAATGAGATGCATCTATTGTGACCGAGGATGTGTTTCAGATGCATCTATTGTGACCGAGGATGTGTTTCAGATCCAAAATGCATCTCTGATATAGATTTTTGGAAGGGGAACACATTTGAATAGGACCTCTTTTAAACTTTTTTTTGGGGACTGTGAATTGAAAATTTAAACTTGTATTTTGAATTTAAAAATAGTGGCACTATCATATTTTACGCGGGAATCCGTCCTTTAATTTAATTTAATTTTATATTATATAGTTGATAAAATGATCTTCTCATCCCTCTCTAATGAATCTCATATTTAAGTCTCATCATGAACTTTTTATTGATAACTCTCATGATGAACTTTTCTTTAGGAAAGAAGAAGAAATTTAAGACGCACTTTAGTTTTTAAAGCGTTCCCACGTGTTTGCAACAAAGATTATGTTATTTTTCTAATGATAAAAGTATCAAAATGGAGGAAGGTATCCAATAAAATGAAACCCAACAAATAAAGATTTGTTATTGGGTAGAATCCAAGATTCAAACAATGCACACAGCCTGGCTTGAAAAGGTTCTTCTAGAATTGAAAACATAGGCATTAATTGAAACATATGCACATGAATTAAAGAAGCATATTTGTTCATGCCATGACCCCACCAGTAGGAATGTTAGCTTCTTGCTTTTGAAATTGAAGAAAGAGTGAAATAATCTAAATTTTTAAAACCCTAAATTTAGGTTGGAAAAGGGAAGGGTGATATAGGTGGTGAAAAACATAGCAAATTTTCAAAGGCTATGGTGGCTACATCTTATATATTTGTTTATTGAAAATTTTGGGCAAAAACATTTTTTTAAACGAGATATAGCGTGTTTTCCGAGCACCTGGTTCACCATCCAAGATCTCTCTCATTTTTTTTTGGGTGGTTTAATGATAGGAATTGAACTTGAGATGTAACATTGCTAATGTCAACTGCAATCCAGCCTAAGCCCAAATTCTTACCAAGATCTCTCTTGGGGATCATTGATCTGTCATCTCAACCACCGTGATCATGATTTTAAAAAGAAAAATGAAAAATTGAGCCTTAAGAATGGTCTATCTTGTATCATTTTTTTTAGTTGTCCATTTTAATACTTCAAATTACCAGATTTACATTATTTTTGGAGTTCCAAGTTCATTTATGTGTGATTCGAGTGAAAAACGAATTTGCTGTGGCTTAAATGTGTTTCGGGTCTTGAGACCTTCGAAACCCAGGGGTTCATGGCAGATTGACCAAAAATAATGTGCTTTTTCAATGGAAGTATTGATGGCAAGGGAAATTACAAGAAGTTTTAATCGAGGATGACTCAAAATTCAGAAAATATAATCTAAGAATATGAAATATGTCCTTTAACCTTGAGAAGAGGAAGGCCAACTCACCCACAAAGTATTCTAAGGATATTAAAAGCGGTTGATTGCAATGAATAAGATGCTTAGGATGAGAATCCTTTGTTGAAATAAATCAAAACAAAATAATTCCACAAGCAAGCGGTTGGTGTCGAAGAGGGCCACCATGCGTTTGTCCAAGAAAAAGTAAACTTTTTCCTTCATCTAAAGTCGACCGTTTCATCTCCCATACTCGATTCAAGTACACGAATGCCTGCCTCATAAAGCCAGTTAATGAGTGCTTCTAAAATCAATCAAGCGATCAATCTCTCTCTCTTTATCTCTAGCTTATGAGAGCTTCTAAAATCTCTCTCTCTCTAGCTAATGAGAGCTTCTAAAATCTCTCTTTCTCTAGCTAATGAGAGCTTCTAAAATCTCTCTCTCTCTCTCTCTCTCTCTTGTCTCTCTCTCTCAGAGTAAAGAGAGGTTGCATGAAGAGATCCTTGTCAAAAAAAAAAAAAAAACTTTGTCAAAAAAAAGGTTGCATGAAGAGAAAAAGAGATTGCATGAAAATGGCAGGGAGTGTTGAAATTCCCTTCTCTTTTTTTCAAAGGACTTAGGGCAAGTATTGATAGTAACAACTTTCAATGTTATAGATGATATTTGTCTATGTACTTTGATCACTTTGGCCCCTCTCTCTCTATATATATATATAGAGAGAAAGAGAGATTATAGTTAGTATGTGTAATCCATCTTTTTCTATATGGCTATAATCATGCAATAAAGGATCTTGAGTAAGTCCAGAGAGAGAGAGAGTTTTTCATGATTTCTAAGCATGAGAAGATGTGAAGAAGCATGGTACCTACCAACAACTGAAGAAGAATGCAAAAAACATAGAATGGAATTCTCATCTCCAATGAAAAGGGTTTCTTTAGGTAGGTCTCCCTCTCTTTACATATTTTACAAGCCTGCAACGTAAGGGTTCTCAAAGAAATTAAGACAAACCCTCAGATACACAAATACCAGAGCAAATCCCAACAACAATAAATGGGTACATAGCTCTCCTCCAAAGATTCAGAAAAAAAATAAAAAACAAAGGATCTTGTACTTAACAAAGATCTCTCTCTCCCTTCCCCCACCCCCCCAAAACAAAAGATGAACACAAAATTTCCACATTTCATGCCCATTGTAAAATAAAGAAGCACCCACAAATTGCCTGTAATTCCCATCACATGTGAAAGGTCCCCTTCTCTCTCTCTCTCTCCAATCCAACTTCACTGCCTCTCAGCAAATTGTATCATCAAGCATGAAGAACCACCAAAATCCCTGCATTTCACATCACCCATCAAACTCCCCATCACCCCTCCACTCCACTATAACCACATTGTTTCTCTCTCTCTCAAACCTCCAAATATAATTCAGCCCAACAAGGAGCTCTGTAATGGCTGCCTCCACCTTCTCCTGGTTTGCAAAATAAAGTGTCTGCAACAACAAAACACTAGTTCTTGCCCCCAAATTTTGCTGCTCAAAATTCCTCTCAGATTGCCATCTGATCATATTATGAGCCAAAGGCGAAAGCCACTGAAGAATCCTTTCTAAAGCTTTGCTCCACTCTCCTGCAAGTGAAGGGTCCACTGCAGAGAAACTTAAGCTTTTTGAATATGCTTTAAGCCTTGATTTCAAAGCCATTCTTATAGTATTTGGTAACATACCGTATAGATCGTCTCGACAATCAGGGCCGATCAAATGGGGCGATCTCACTAGCCTTTCTATCACTAAAACCAAGTTTGCATAATGTAAAGCTAGAGCAGAGGCCCCAAGAGTAGAAGAAGGGGGGTTAAGAAGCTTACTATTGGTATAAAAAAACTTGGGTTTGTTCAAGAGCTTCTCTGGTTTGTTGCAGAGCTTCTCGTTTGGGTTTAACGACCCTGATTTCACCATTAAAGGCTTACTATAATTTGGGTTTTCGGAGGAGGGGTAAACAGTTGCAGAGAAGCTACGAGTTAATGGTGAACCGTGCTTCCACTGTGTTTCAATGGAGAAAACCAGTCTGATCCTTGAAAACACAGTAAAGACTGATCTGGCTAAAATGGCGGTCACAAAATCAAAGCTTCGACCCCAAATTGAGCTCTCTTTTAAATATCTTACCTCCTCTCTTTGCCAAACTACCTTTTGGTGAAGATCAATGGCTCTGCAACTCTTTGAATTTGAGTTTGAATTCCTATCACTCTGAATCTTTCTAAGCCCACCTTCAAGGTCGGAAAGAATCTCAATCTCTTTATAAAGCCCTGAAGTTGCAGAAACAAGCTTCTCCATTCTTTTGAGCTTTGATTCCATCTCTCTGAAACTCATGACCCAATTATTGGGATCTGAACCAGTCTTCACAAACTCCATGAAAATGCGATCAAAGCTCCACAAACTCGGGTCTCTGCATCTTTGGCCTAATCGACTAACAGAAGCAGCAATTAGCCTCAAATTCTCTGCAATTTCAGCACAAGCAAGACTGAGAAGAAAGGAATCATCATTAGAAACTATCTTTCTTATTCCTTCTAAAGTTATGGTCTCCGCCTTTAATCGAGAGATTTGATTATCAGAGAGAGAACGCCATAGGTGCATGATCCGAGACATGAGACCTGCAATCTCAAATGCGAGAACTCCAACTTGGGGTGCCTTCTCTTGCCTCCTCCACGAGTTTAAGAGTGTGGATTTTAGAGAGACGCTCGCTTTGATGAGCCACGACTCGAGCGCCATTAGAGTCGCAGGGAGAGCTCCAATGGTTGTTATTGAGGTCCAGTGAATTTGACGATCATGGGTCCTCTTCTATTGGTAATTTCAGCAGAACGTAGAGTGGAAAAAAGCAATGCCAGAGAGACAGGGGAGTCTCATGAGAGAGAGGCGAGAGAAAGAGAGGGAGGGAGATGGGGTGTGTTATGGATTATCTATTTGAGAGAAAGAGAGACAGATCTCACAGAGAGAGAGAAGAATCAAAACTCCCAGTTCTTAATTTGAGTGAGAGAGAGAGAGAGAGAGAGAGAGAGAGCAATAATTGGTGGGGTGGAGTTGCAGGGGATAAGGATATAAAAAAGCAGAGTTGAGCAGATGCGGGTGTCCGTTCATGGGGTGTTAAAAAATAGAGAGAGAGAGAGAGAGAGAGAGAGAGAGAGAGAGAGAGAGAGAGGAGGAGGA